AGATACCTAAAGTATAGTTTAATAGATTATGGAATTGGACTAGTTATGTATTACCTAAAAACGTAAACAGACAACATATTATAAATAGATTAAATTTTATTGGCTGTTTTCCGCATTTTTCGAATACTAACTGGCTGTTGAAACCATAATGTGTTAGGTATCTTTTCTCTGAAAACTGTATTCATTTTTATACCCATATTGGTGCCCATTAACACTTCAAATTAAAATCGTAAAATGTTAAGGATTCTTTGTGAGGATTGCCTATCCTTTATGGATTCTAGTATTTTTAATGCTTTTGGAAGGCTTCCTTTATTTTAAAATCGTAAAATGTTAAGCATTTTTTGTGAGGATTGCCTATCCTTTATGGATTCTAGTATTTTTAATGCTTTTGGAAGGCTTCCTTTATTTTAAAATCGTAAAATGTTAAGCATTTTTTGTGAGGATTGCCTATCCTTTATGGATTCTAGTATTTTTAATGCTTTTGGAAGGCTTCCTTTATTTCAACAAAAGTTTAAGTTCTCCCCTGTGGATTCTAATCGTGTGTTTTCACTTACCGATTTGAAGCCGCGATACATAAGTCTTATTTCCTGTCGTGAGAACTTGGTCTGTCTGCAGAGGTCCTCGAGGGCAACCGGTATTGGCTTCGGGACTCTGGACGGCTCGATCTCGTAAACAACCTCCTCGACTGGACTGTCCTCCGAAGGGGTAGTCATTCTCGCTGATACATGGGACACATTTCCACATTACAATAACTCGCGAATCGTGCGTATGCGTAACTAATAACTACTAACTACGAATTAATTAATTTATTTATTTGTATTGAACAAAAACTACCGCCTCAGTCGCAGGATCGCAGCAACTCGCTGCATTTTATTACGCGGACGCTCGCAACCGCGACGTTCCACCGTCATTATAATTTTCTACGTGCTGCGGCTATTTCACTTTCAAAACTGATGGTAGTGGTAGTGGTCGAACTGTCAGACAAACACCTCCTAAAACAACACGGATGACTCGTACGTACTAATAGCTGGCTTCGTGTTGTCGTAGTGCTGTAGGTAGTGGTCCAACCAAAGTAAATTTGAGAAGTGTACGCATGTACATGTGTGTATGTGTATGTCGGTGTGTGTTGGAAAATGAACGGAGCGTGTTGGCAATAAGCAGCCGTCACCCGGAGTCGACCCGGACTACTTCCACTGCTCCGCTGAAGAAATCCGGGACTATGATGCGCAAGTGCCGCGCAGGAATGCGGGAGGACTCGTCAGGATTTTAGGCTCTCCCTTCTTTACGTCTAAATATATTCATCAGATTTTCCACGCTATCTTTACGGTTACCGATGGACCGTTTTCAATAACTGCCTATTATGTTTAAAAGGTGACAATAACCATGCCCCTCCTCAAAGGATTCATTAGAAGGATAATTCACAATAACCTAATCCCTGGTGGTTCTTCATTATTACAAGGTTGTGAGATTATAGGTCATACTTCGATTTACCTACTAATTCAATTCAATGAAATAGTATGATGAGGTGATTACCCATGTGTGCCCACAACTCTGCAGAAGCTTGTCTTCTTAACTAATTATTGTATCGTATTAGTATTAAATTTAAATATGGTTTTGATGTAATTAATATCTATTAAGGTTATTGGTTACAAACACAGGCGGTTTTAAAGACTATTGTCTCCTGTGGTCGAGTTTGAAGAAAAACAAACCGAATTCAAAGGCATCCTCTGGGGTAAAGCACTCCGGACGTAAACTATTCGTCCATTTGGATTTGTGGGGGGGGGACCACCTCGGTGGATATCATCAATAAGTGCAATAGGGGAAGATGCAATATTTCACGAGTCGAAACGTGGAATGCTAGGACAATGAGGCAAGTAGGGAAATTGGAAAATTTGAAAGTTGATATGAATAGACTAGAATTAGATATAGTAGGCACTAGTGAAGTCCGTTGGCCAGAAGCTGAAGACTTCTAGAGTGAAAAGTTTAGAAAGATAATTTGGGGGTAGGGATTGTAATACGTAGGAAAGCAGGAGAGAGTGTAGAAAGTTATTTACAAAAAATCGATAGGATAGTTATGGTTAAATTAAACTCAAAGCCAGTAAAAACTGTAATAGTGAAGGTCTACATATCATTCAACCATCCCATCAGACAGTAAATTTTAGGGCGTAGTTCTCGTTATTGTAATGCCCATTAATTCAGTGATCTTCTTGACAAATTCGATTCGAAGTTCCTGCCTTGGTTGGAATACATTTCTCGAATGACGCTCCCACGCTGAATTCGTCCATGACTTCTCGTTTTTGGTCTCTTACTAGCAGTGCATGTCAGGCATCTCCTACACCAGTCTCCCACATCGCTTCTATTTCGTAGCTAATAAAATCGCTTGCGTACCTTCCGTAGAGTCTTCGTAACACCGAAATGTCTTTCGCCATGAATTGTTTCTAAGATCCCTGAAATTTTGTTCTTTATAATGACCACTTGGAGTTTGTTTCTGGTTCCATCTGGATTCTCCCACAGTCTTTTCAAGGCGCCGCGATCCAAAATAAGGGAAATCTAGTGGACCCAATAACTTTTCGATGACTGACGTAGCTCATATCTGCCCACGATGGTCTTGAGGTTCCAGTTTTATTTCATCTCATTATTTTTGTGTATCCTCTAGTTTTCGATTAATTCTTTACCTTCCCTAGGATCTCTTAGGTTGAATGGTAGTTAGATTACCACAGACCGTCGCCAGTTCTTCCTTCTTTTTCGTAGATAAACAATGATGACAGTTTTCCCCGCAGGATTTTCGGGGAAGTGCTTCTGCGTTGCCGTGTTGTTTGCTTTGGCGTTATTCGAAGTCGAACTCGTATTCCTATTGGAACCATCGTGCAATTTGTCCTTCTGGGTCCTTGAAAACTTTAGGGAGGCGTGATCTGTTCTTAATAGGAATTTCCATCCGTACAGGTACTTGTGAAAATGTTCAAGAGTTTTAACCACAGTCAGTAGATCTCGACGAGTGACACAATAATTTCGTTCTTGTTTTGAGAGTGTCTTGCCACTAAAGTACTCGATGGCCATTTTATTCCCGTCTTGTACTTGAGACAATACACCACCAAGTTCTACTAGCGTCGACATCTCGATTTTCTGTAAATCTGGTGTAGTGGTTATAGTGGGCTACATCGGCACACTCTTGTATGAATCTTCGGTAGGAGGAGCAAGATCCCAGAAAGCTTCTAAGTTCGTAACGGTCCTTTGGAATGGGCCAACTTCATACGAGTCGGTCATAGCTCCTTCCGGTGTTACGACATGACCTATGGATTTCACTTCTTTCTAAACAGGAAGCATTTCTTGGGACTCAGCTTCAGTTTTGCGGTTGAAAATTTCTTAAAGACTTCAGTCACGTTTCTGAGGTGGTAGTATGTAGTAGTATGAAAATGTCATTTAAGTAAACCAACCTTATACTTCAGTTTAGTCGTTTAGTAATATAGTGTCCATGAATGTACCCGTTGCATTGCACAATCCGAAAGGCATCACATTGAACTGCCACAGACCGTATACAGTTGTAAAAGCAGTTTTCTCCTAATGCTGTCAGTACCCACTTTTCAAATCAAAAGTAGAGAACCATTTAGCTTCTGCTGGGCTGTCTAGTGTGCCGTCTATTGTGGGTAATGGGAAGCTGTCCTGCTGTCCTTACATCGTTCAGCTTCCCGTAGCCCAAGCAAAATCTCGTCCGTCTTTCTTACGTACCGGCACTACAGAGAACTTTGAAATGGTGCTACCACCCCTTGTTTATGCATATTATTTATAAGATTATTGACTCTTCTACGTGTTTGTTTACTAGGGCCTTGCTGTTCCAGTGCTGATGAGGTGGTATATAAAGGTGGTCCTACCGTCTTAATCTGAGAGGGTGAAGACTTGTTGAAAACGGCTAAAATGTTCTTCTAATAATTGCTTGACTTGGTGCTTATTGAGATGGTTACTTGACCATTTCGCCAGCTCTGTTGAAATTGCAGGAAATGTCCGTTTCGTCTCAGGTTCTTCTTCCTAGTCGCAGTGATGAATTTCAGCTATTGGTTCAAATACTTGCAACTCTGTGTCTTTGAACGTTTTGCTTGAAGTCATTCAAATTGACCATTCTAACAGGTATTGATGGTGCTCCACTTTTTACGAGCGTACGTCCTACTAATAACCAATAAACATTATTATTTACTGTCCACCGATGCGCGAAGTGCTAAGATTTAAGTCGATTCCATGCTCCTAAAGAAGACCTAATCCAATCTTAAATTTAAAAACTAGGTGGAAGGACGGGCGAGATACTAAAGAAGGCAAGAGAAACTAACACGGGAGGGACTTAGAGATAGAATGGGACTGCATTAAAAAGTTTAAGAAACCCTGCGTAACAAACGGCAGTGGGTCGGTGAAATGAACACCGGGGAGGTGAGGGTTAAAGTTGAAAAGTGTGACTTATTACCAGAAAATGCATAGTTGTGTCAGATAAGCACCCCTCTGACCCCTAGCTACTCAACATGTGCCTTGCCTTTTATTTATCTTTCTACTCAATTAAAAGAAAGTGTCTTTTACACGATCTCGTGATTAAGTGATCGTCTAGTTTTCTTCCATGTCGACACGCACCGTGTGGCATTAGGTTTAAATGTCCGACATCGTGAGATACTACCCTATTCCTATATCATTCAAAATTGTGGTTAACATCAGCGGTAAGTGGTAAACGCCACAAGTACGAAATGGCAGAGCCATCTAGTACATAAAAAAAAAGACACTGGTAACATTATACTTGTATTGCCTTCAAACCATCAAACCCATTCCACTATAATTCCGCTTGAACTTGAAATACCAAGCAAAACGCTCAGAAGCTAATGGGCTAAGCTAATTTAGCTAATGGGGCAGGAAAATCAGTAGTCATAAACGTGAACGTTGTGAGCGTGAGTGTGAAACGTACTCTTAATATCATACATAAGGTTAATGTTTTATCTATGGGTTATTTCCGTTGGTTTTTTTGAAAATTTAATTATGATTTGACTTTTATAGGTTACCTAGAAATTAATTAATTGTCATGTTTAATGAATATTTATGTTTATTATTGTTATCATTTAATTAGTTTTTAGTATCTTTTTATAAACCAATATGGCAAGTACTACGGTAATATTACATTATTTTATTAGAAAGCATTTTTAAGTGAATTTATTTCAGGAATTAATAGCATCAAGAAACTTTCCTACATTAAAAAACGATAGAATTTTAAAAGTAATTAGGGGTGAATTGCCTGATAAACTTCCAGTATGGATAATGCGTCAGGCTGGACGTTACCTTCCAGGTTAAAACAATTTTTATGAATTTATATATTTTTTTGTATTTGTTATTGTTTCTAGAATTTCAAGATTTTCGTAAGAAACATGACTTCTTTAAAATTTGTCAGTCCCCTTCATTAGCCTGTGAAGTAACTTTACTGCCTATAAGGCGGTATGATTTGGATGCAGCGATTATTTTCAGTGACATTCTTGTAATACCCCAAGCTCTGGGTATGGAAGTTAAAATGGAACCAGGACTTGTAAGATTAGATTTATATTAATTAAGACATTATATATTTGTGTTTTTAGGGTCCAGTTTTACCGCACCCTTTAACAGTAGACGGAATTCCTGATCTAAAGGTAGATGGAGCTATTCAGCGGTTAAAATATGTTGGAGAAGCTATTACATTAACTAGACATAAATTAGAAGGAAAAGTGCCTTTGTTTGGCTTTTCAGGAGCACCTGTAAGCCATAGATTTTCTTATCAATTGCTCGCTTTATGTGTAATTTTTTAAGTGGACATTAATGGGATACATGATTGAAGGAGGAGGCTCTAAAACACTTTCAAAAGCAAAGAAATGGTTATATGCCCATTCCAAAGAGTCTCATCAATTGTTGGAACTGTTAACTGATGTAATTATTGATTATCTTGTAATGCAAGGTGAAGCTGGAGCACAAATATTACAAGTTTTTGATTCAAGTGCTGAATATTTAAACAGAGGCTTATACAGAGAATTTGCACTCCCATATCTCAAAAGGATTAGAGAACAAGTTCGCTTAAAATTGGCAGATAAGAATTTAGAAAACATTCCAATGGTAAATGTTTGTTATAATGAATTTGATAATAGTTTTACTATACTATTCTCCTGTTAAAGTAAAATTTATCATTGTAATTTGATAATTTATTACTTACTGATAAACCAGCACAAGCTCATATGGTGTAAATAATTGTAAAGTTGACATAAATTGTTTAATTTGTTTACCACACTACTATAAAAGTACAATAATGTAGCGTTAAATAATTTTTAAACCCGAATATGAATTATTATTATTTGTAGTTTTTTTATCAATTAGGTGTTATTTGCAAAAGGGGCTGGATTTTCCTTACGAGACCAAGCTCAATTAGGATACGAAGTTTTAGGAATAGATTGGACAACAGACCCTGCAGAGGCAAGAGAAGCTGTTAGTTGTAACAAGAATATAGTGTTACAAGGTAATTTAGACCCTTGTGCCTTATATGCTCCACCAGCAGCATTGAAGAACTACACTAATACTATGATTAAACAATTTGGAACCAAAAATTATATTGTAAACTTGGGTCATGGAATTTATCCAGATGCCAATGTTGATAACGTTGAAGTATTTGTTAATGCTGTACATGAGTACCCAATTTAATTCTAAGTGAAAATTAGTGCTTATTTTGAGGTTTTAAAAATAAAGGACCAAAAAAAATACCTATGTTTAGTTTTGGATGATTTTCATGCAGTGGTTTCAATAAAATAAATTATAAGATTTAAAAATGATAAAAAATATTTTAATAAACCTTACCGATGATTACAAAATTGTTTTTGAAATTGATGATACTTAGCTTCAGATATTATGACAGTTGCGTTTTCATATTGACTATCGTCAGGATTTTCTTCTTCAGTCTTTACAGTAGCATTCTTATACAACCACCTGAAAATTTAGATTCTAATAAAATGTATACATAAACTGCTTTCTCCATAAATTTTTCGACTGCAATAGAGTAATCTTTAATAGTGAAAAACTTAAGATCAATTAAATTACAATTTATAAAATATAAGAAAATACCATAACGAATTCAATATACCTTATTTCCTCTCCTCCAAAAGGTATTTTAATTGTTAATAATCTTCTGTTAGACTCCTTTAAGACTGCGTCTTCTAATACTTTTAAAAGTTTGTCCAGTCCTTCCAACAAAATAAAAAAATAACAATTTTATTAGCATGAGCAAAAAAAAAACTTAAATATATACACCTTGTCCTGTTTTTGCAGAGACAGGAATTAAACCTGATTCGTTGTCTATTTCCTCAACAAGATCACATTTATTACCCACTGTAATAATTTTATTGAGCTTGTCTTTCCACAAGGATTTGCCGAGTAAATTTTCTAATGTTTGAAGCACATGATTTCTTTGATGTTTCCTCTTTTTACTGGAAATGTCCTCTACATGCAAAATAACAGTCTAAATTTAAAAAAAAATAAATAGAAAGAATCTAGGCAAAATTATCAAATAATTACAGCAAATAAGGCATCTTCCAAAGTAGCAATGAAACATTCAATTAGTGTTGTTGGTATATCAGAAATGAATCCTACTGTGTCAACATACAGCACTTCTAAAGTTGAGGGTAATAAACCAGCATGCATTGTGACGTCAAGAGTTGCAAACAGTTGATTTCTTGGTTGTAAATCCTTATCATTTGATAATGCTTTAATTAAGGAAGTTTTTCCACAGTTGGTATATCCAACAACAGCCACTGAAGGAAATTCTAAGCTTTTCCTCCTATTCCTAGTCATTTCATGCTGAGTTCTCAGCTTTTTGATTGCTGCTTTTAGTTTCTGTTCTCTGCTATGTAACATAAGTTTCCTTTTCTCTGGGTTACTACAAGCAATGTCCTTCTGTGTCAGACGATTTGTAATATATGGTATTTCTGCTAGTGCAACTTGTAATTTTGCATGTTTGCTGATTGCATGCAATCGAAGTATTTCTATAACTATTTTGTATCTATCAAATATTGGAACACCAAATTGACTTTCTAATTCCTCAATTTGCATAATCTTTAATGTACTCATGTTCATAAAGACTGCTGTAGCCTTGCTGCTTCTAATTGTATTTCTTAACTTCTCCAAGTTTCCACTACCAAATATCGTCTTTTTATCTAAACTTGTTAGCGGGACAACTACTTTGCCTTCTACTGTCCAAGGGTCCAATGTTCGAATTAAGGATTCAGCCTCTTCAAGCTGATCTTCTGGTGTGGTTAAGATTTGTTTCTTTGGGCCCCATTTTATATATGGATGTATTATATAACAATTATAAGCCTTTTCTACCCCAAAAAATCTACTAGATAGCTCTTGATATTCACTAAACACAAACAAATTGAAACATTAAGGGTGACAATCCAAAAATTAAGAACTTACCGGTCTTTATCATCTATTTCAGATGTACATAAAATATCGTTTGATTCAGGAAACTGTTTTTGCTGTTGTAATTTCGTGAAACTAAAAATAGTTCTCCATTTCAAATAACTACCAGATCCTCTCTTAAATCTCTGAGACTTGGAAAAAAGCGCCCTTAACATATTTCCTTAATTTTTTAAATTTGATCACAATCGCAAACTATCGGATACAATGATTAATAAATAAATTACCGAGGTACCATATTTTAAGATGTTGTTAATTTCGGGTATAGTATACTAGAAAAATTGCAAAAACAATGATGTAGTGGAAACCTATATGCTAAATTAAAATTAAATAAAATATAGGTTATTTTCAATTTTACTTGATAAACATTTCCATAGAACATATTCATAAATCTAAAAACTGTAGATCATAGATGTATGTCCTGTTCATAGACGTATAGTAATGGACGTGCCTTAGCGGTCAGAATTGTGGGGGGATCGAAAGAGGAGATCTCCCCCACCACTGTACCATAAAAAGTTCGTTGAGGTCTCACCCCCACAAAAAGTTATAGGGGTTCAAAGTTAATAAATATGCCAATTTTTATACATTTCTATGCATGTAAATATTTATATAGTCATTCTTAAACAATATTCAAAGGTAAAACAAATGGAAAAATACATAAAAATTTTGAGTAAGTTATATAAAACATTATTTAAATATCTTTATAATAGGGTAGGTTAGGTTAGGTTATCGGGTTTTGTTCAAGTGACCACCCTCTTTCGATCCCCCACCTCCACCCGCTTGAAAATATTTTTTTTATTGAATTTTATGTGAATTATAGTGTACGAAAATTGTCAAAATAATCAACTNAGTGTATAAAAATTGTCAAAATAATCAATTTTCAACCCCCATAACTTCTTAAGGGAGTGAGACCGCCGCAAATTTTTTATTGGGTTTTACTCAGGTGACCACCCTCTTTCGATCCCCCCTACCCTCTTCCGATCCCCCTACCCCCACCTCCATCTAACACCCATAACTTTTTATGGGGATGAGACCGCCACGAAATTTTTATGGTACAGTGGTGGGGGAGACCTCCTCTTTTGACTAGACATTTACCAAAAACGAATTGTTTTCTAAGATGTGTCTGAATGCCGGCGCAGATCGGCGAAAACTGTCCACGAAGATACTGAGGAGGCCTCCGAGCGGCTTCCAGTAGGAAACAATGCGCTGGGAATCAGTAGAATTGTTGCATAGAGCATTTTCGCCAGGGAAACTTGGGGGTCCTCTTTGAACGCACTTCGAAGGTGTGTCAGGACCAGCGGCAGGCGGTCGGGTCATAACGTCCCATCGTCATACATTAGAGAAACGTAGGATATATGTGTTCAACCATGCCGTTGGGTTGAGGATGATAGGTTGCAATGCGGATCCTTGTAACCCCGAGGCTATCTTTGAGAACAGGGCGGTTTCGAATTGAACTCCTTGGCCTGTAATCGTCAGCGGAGTACTGTGTAGGCTTATCTACTGGTCGATTAAGGTTTTGGAAACGGTATTTGGCTACTAATCTGGCAGCGGAATACCTTCATACCACCTGAAGAGCCTGTCCACTCTGATCAAGCAGTATTGGAACACTATGCAAAGAGGCAACTTGATGGGGTCGCGATGGAGATGCTCCAAGAGACTCTTCTAGACTCTTCACTGTACTGTAATTTCCTAGAGCCACTAGAGCTGAACGATTGTGCCTGTGGATTGTAGCACGCTGTCGTGATTGACAAGAGCGGGACAAGTGAATTATCTCCTTACGCAAGCTTAGCCGGTCAAATGTTGATGAGATAAGGTGAACGGTGTCTCTGACACTTGAGTAAGAAAAATTGTGACTGACTTTATTAGGCTTTGGAACAACGTAGAGCTAGTTTACCAATTGGCTTGAAGATGGGCGTACGATGCCTCAATCGAGCAGATGCTTGAACATTCCTTGATGAATCTTCTAGGCCGCTCGAAAACGATGGACCCTGAGGTACGTATCTGATGGTGAACTGGCAGATCAGTTAACTCGGCTGTTGAACGGTCCGCTAGGATGATGTCCACGTATTGTTGTATGAGGTCGCCGTACCGCTAGCTAGAGTAGATTTCGTTGATGATTGTGAAGTGGTGCAAGAGTGTTAAGGGTTGAAGTGGGACAAGCGTAACTGACTGTGCGTTGACAACTGTGAAGGCCCACTGAAGACGCAGGTTGAACTCAACGAGATGAGTGCCGACCGTCAAAGAATTAGCAGTTGTAAGCAGGATCTGACGTTGCAGTTTCAGAGTAACAATTGCCTTCGGTGGAACAGACATAACGGAGCTAGAGCTGACGAGGATTTTCTTATTTACCTATTTACCGATTTCTACTGCTTGAATCGGAGGTGACACTATAAGTTATCTGACCAAGGGAAGAAATAATGTTAGACAGTCTGCAGCACAGTTCGCTTCATGCCCCGTTGCTGCCGGATGGTTTGCTTCGAATCTGGCTCCTTGATGAGTGGTCTGGGCGATGGTTGTCTGTCTGTCTGCAGGACAAGAGCAGCTGAACCACGGAGAAACGTAGGACAATCAGATATACAATAGTTAAGGAATATACTGTGGGAGGTTGGACGGCCGTAGTGTTGACGACTGAGGTCCCATTGATATTCTGAATCTGATTGACAGCCGCGGCGGTTGGAAATGGGGCGATTTGAAGACCTGCTACATTTGTAATGACTAAGTCAATAATATTAGATATGTGTGGAAGTAGCTGGGACGATATTTTGTGTCTGGAAGATTGAGTAGGAATTAAGCAACTGTGACGGAAAAAAAAACTGAAGCGAAAATAACATCACTTTCTGCAGCTTTAAGCGAACTGGTAAAACGACCTAGTAACCACCCCAACAAGGATTAAATTAAGCATTAGAAGAGCTTATTGGCCGTTTTCGACATATCTTCACCCTCTCAGATCAAGATTGCGGTAGAACCAACTTAAGATAACTACCACAGCTTCGACATCGGTACAGCAAGACCCATTAAATAACCACATAGATTTTTTTTCTGGGCGACCTCATAGTTTCGTGCGCTGTGTAAGAATATATATACATAACGAGGGCGCGGAAGCTATTCCTTTCCCTGGTGTTGAGGGAAAGAAAAAAGGAAGTAAAACAACTAAACCCAACCCATCGCTAGACCATTCAATTAAAAATAATGCTTATACTGTAGGTGCACAAAATGGCGGACTTGAACCACACTAATCCCCCAGAGGGAGAGTAGACCTTAATAATCTAATAACCTAAACTAACCTTCTCATGCATGATTCTCATTAAATTTCTTTACTTATTTTGGAATGTCTTATTTTGCTCTGATAAATCTCACATGAGAGAGGGGTTAGTATTAATAAGAAAACTCCTCATGTAATTAACGGACGTTCCCATATATTGTCCAAATTTTCACATACAAGGTGAGTGAAAAATGTTTTTATTCTTAAAATGGGTTAAGGTAGGTTGTGACTAACACGTTCTTGTTTATGGTGCTTCCTTTAGTAGATACCTATAAGTAATTGGATTTTTATTAAATAGTTACCGAGATTATTCTTACTACGTAAGTATATTATAATTTATTATAACAGACAGTTTCCAAAATAGAAACATCCAAATACATTTGTTTTTTTTTTTTGTTTTCATTTTTTATTTGAAGTCGTAAGTTAACTGATACATCTGTATAATTTGTGTTATAAATAAAAAATAATAGGTACTATTGAAATACTCCCATTTTATTTTGCATTTTATTACTCCGGCCAAACTATTTGCTCTATCCATGGCACATAATAGGATACCCTTGTGTATACGGCGGGAGTGTTGGGAATTCCACAAGCTTTTCCAAATGATGTCACCCCGATTATGTAATACGGCTTGTTCAGTCCAAATTCTATTTTGCTTTGAAGGGGTCCACCCGAATCGCCCTATAAATATATGCTAATTAATAAAATTAAAAAATTATTTTCTGCTTTCGGAAAATCAAACACTTTCTAAAGAGGTCTGTAATTGTTACTTGAGCTAATTTGATTAACTTGTACACCGCATACTGATTAACTCTTTTTAACGAAGCAGAAATAAAAGCACAATACAACAAGAAAATTAAGTGTCTGTTTGTGTGTTCGAAAGTTCACCGTTTTCATGAAAAACGTAGTTACAAGTATAGGCAAATGTAATTCCAGCTCTGCAAGGAAATACGACAACGCAACGCCGTATTAAATAAGCTGGTACTTACATCATCCGTTTTAAATTTTATTTTGTATTTTTTTTACTCATGTATTGTTTATTTGTTAGATTAGATTAAGTGTAATTGAGAATGTTTATGTTTGCAACCAGTCTAGAGTACTTATTTGTTTCTGTAATGTTGTAAACTTGAATATTGTACGGTCATCGATTTCCCCAGCGAAGACTTCCTCACCAACAAAACATCTCAAATGCGGTACAAGGATTAAAAGAAACCGGCAATAATTTTTGATACACACTCGAAGTCTATCTTTTAGCAATATGAAACAATTTTTGGAGTGTACGCACGTATGTGTGTGTGTTTATCCGATATTGCAATTAACTTTTTCTAAAGGGAGGATGCGCCTATTAGCAAACTACCCACAAAAAGTAGGTAAAGCATCTTGGCAATAATAATAATAAAATTACAATTGTCTATCCAGGAGATATTATTGTACCTATTCATGTTTACGTAACCTTAATTTTACCGTTCTTTTGTGTTCTTAAATACTATTTTGACGTGCATCATAAATAGTGCTGCATCATCAGTGATGAACAAAAAAAAAACAAAAGCGTTCGATATGTGGCATTACAGGCGAATGATGAGGATACCGTGGATGGAGAAGGTTAGAAATGAAGAGGTATTAGAAAGAGTAAGAGAGAAGAGGACTCTATGGAAGTCAATAAGAAATAGGCGAGACAGGTTAGTAGGACACCTCCTAAGATATGAAGGTCCAGTCAGAGACATATTAGAGGCAGAAACGGAAGTTATGAGAGGTAGAGGTAGACCTAGATTAAAATAATTCGAAGTGATCTGCATTCTGGCGAAACTGTCAGACGCGGATCGCGACCACTTCGAATTATTATTATGCGTTTACTGCGCCATTTGTAGTATTTTCTAAGACCTAGGTTAGCTTCCTGTTCGTAAATAGTTAAGGGTATGGGTTGTTCTAATTCTAGCTAAATGCGAAGATTAGCTCAGGATAGGGAAGAGTGGAGGTGCGTGTCCAACCAGTCTTAGGACTGACGACCTTATGATGATGAGTGTAATAGTAAGCCACTATTTACGTTAGTGATTTTAAAATACAAAATAAAGTTTCATTTCTTCATCTACACCTTGTCGACATAAAAATTTGATATGTAACTTTACATTCTAAACATGATAAACATTAACAGACATGAATGGTTTTAAAAGTGTCCGATTTAGAACATTAATTAATAATTACCTGACACGTATCTTTTGACTCATTAATTCCACCAGCACAAACTTGAGTTTCGTCAACAATACCGTTTGGTAATTTTCTTTTACTAACCGATGCAAAAGCACTTCTACACTGTTCGTATGAGAAATAGTTTAAATCAACTTTTTGCAAAGCATCACTCGTTTCGCCATTAAACTGCGTTTTTCCCCATCCTGTTGCATACGGTTTTAATTTGGGTTCTTCACGTGAAGTATACAAACACGCAGGTTTAACATATTCTGTAAAATCGGCGTTTTTATTCAATTTTAAAAGGGCAATGTCGTTATACTGAACAGGTGGACGGTAATCTGGATGTGTGAATACTTGAGTGATCACAAAATCTTGAAGGTTGTTCGTTATTATCTTTAAATTCAGAAGTCCCATTCTTGCGAATTTCACTTGACCCCTGAAACGAATTTGACATACTTACATACAGATCTATGTAGTTGTTAAAAACATTATTAAAAATTGATTAGTAATCGTAAATGTAAACTTTGTTATTGCATACAGTAATTATCAGGACCGCCTTTAGCCTATTGGAGGCTACTGGGATAACGGGACCCCTAATATGGCTTTAATAGAAGACTATTTTGTTAAAACAGCCAATAAGCTGAATTTTAATTATTTCAACAAATTACTGCAACAAGAACAGGTTAGAAGCCTTCGGAGTGTGGTGTTATAGCGAATGATGAGGATAACGTGGGTAGAAAAGGTTAGAAATGAAGAGGTATTAGAAAGAGTAAGAGAGAAGAGGACTCTATGGAAGTCAATAAAAAATAGGCAAGATAGGTTGGTAGGACACCTTTTCAGACATGAAAGTCTAGTCAGAGACATATTAGAGGCAGAAACGGAAGTTATGAGAGGTAGAGGTAGACCTAGATTAGATTACTGTTAGCAAATAGTTAAGGATGTAGTTTCAGGGAAATGCGAAGTTTAGCTCGGGATATGAAAGAGTGGAAGTACGTGTCCAACTAGTCTTAGGACTGACGACCTTATGATGATGATTAAGCAAATGCTGGGATAATAATAATATTCCGTAGATAATCCCACGATTTCTAAAAGGAGGTTGAAGAGGGCTTTCCGCCCTTCCCTCCGGCGTAATCCGGAGAAACTGCTCTCCTACCACCATTAGTAACTGGGTGAGAATGAAACACCTACATGTTTCTTCTTTTCGGACAGGTAAATAGAAAACAGATTAAAGCTATTGCTGACTTCTTAATTTTAGGCAATGATACTTACAGTTCTTGCGTAAACGTGCAGTGTGCTGCGGTCAAAATAAAATTTGGACTTATTAAAGATCCCCCACAAAGCCATTGAACATCATTTATCGACCCAAAACCGAGTGCAGCCTGAAATAGATTAGTGTTGAATATCTACTATTTCACTTGGAGTAAGGTGTGACGTAGCTTTCTGCTCGCACCACTCATTCATTTCGTAGATTATATTACAACTGGAACCGAACAATTTTCGTATATTTTTTTACTCAAACTCCTTCAGGATTTTAAAATCTAAATACGCTGACGCTGTATACAATTACAATTCTTAGACATGCACATAACATATGACATCTAAATGATGGAGATAGACGTGTATATGTCTGCACCGTTGAGTAGGCATCTTTTCCAGGCTCCTGCCAACAATATGGGAGTATTAAGTATATGGGGTCAAGGGGGTCTTATGCCGTTGTAGATTTTAAGTTCCTTGTGCCGAGGTATTATAACGATATAACCCAATTCGCCTCTAGTTCCGAAAAAATAATAATGTAAAATTACAAGTATATATCTCCCATAACACAAAACGTCTTAAGTTCTGTAATCGTAGGTAGGAAGTGTAACAAACGTCTCAGACAGCATGTTAATTTCCTCCCCTGACGAGTACGCTATTTTTCGCCACCCCTCGGCCAGGAGGTGAAATTTTTCTTTGATGAGTATCTTAGCAGTCATGTTCATTGAGACAAAAATTGCAAGGGTACTTGATTTGGACAAACTAATTTCGTAATTATGTGAACTTGAATTCGTGGGTTTTGGTCCACTCGGACTCATCTGCAGCTACTCTCTTAGATGGCATGATGAATAATTAAAAATCATATCAATTACAGGTCGGACGAACGAAGCTGGCGAGCGGTCGAGCAGCTACTTGCCCATTTACGTATGGCATATTTAGGTAAATCACTTTTACGATTTATAATAGATACTTTTATGAATGTATAATCCAAAAATGGGTACGCCAAAATTAAATCATAGTAGAAATAGTTACAAAAAATATAATTTGTTTATTGACTTGTAATAACTTATTAGTTATTAAAATTGAATTCTTTAAATGATGTTGATATAGTAGCTTTCAGAAAGCTTGACATGGTTATTTATAATTAATATACATTCTGTAAAGTTAATGATTTAATACCGAACATGATATGATGCTATATTGAAACTGATGTTTCAAATACACAGTGATTGATATAAATCGTTCGTTAGAAGTTTATAGACAAGAAAAAGATGTATCCCTTTAAAACTTGCGATTAGTATAGATAGGTATTGTACAATTTAAATGGATCTGTTTTAAGAAAATATTTCCCAAACAGTAGCATTTTCCATTCTGCTTAAAGTGTTCCAATACATCGTTATTTTAAATAGAATGAAACAATTCCAGTAATGTTTTGGTTTCCGAGATAATCCACTTTTTATTGATGGACCTTTGTTTTTTAATCTCCGGATGGACCACACAAGTCAAACAAATATAAAAGTTATTTTATTACTAAGGGTTATGTACACACAGTTACTTCCAGACATAATCACCTCAACATTTGTTATACCTGTGGTCTGTGGATAAGCGCTCCAATGTTTTTTTTGCAAGATGTTACCGCCAATGAATGACCTTGAAATTCTTCGTTGGCTTGGTAGTGGGAAAGGCAGGGAAAAGATGGATCTCATTGGGGTGGTCAAAATAAGAGGCGTGCTGACATCTGAAATTGAAGAAGTAGGTGGGTGACCACCGTTTCCAAACTAATTAAGGGGTTCAGTACAACGTTAAGACTCAAGTAAATTAATTTACGGCAACATTTTATGAAGAGGAAGCTTCTCCACATGGTCCAAAAATATCTTAACTGTCAAGGTGATTATGTCAAAAAGTAACCATAAGTGGGCAAATTTCGACGTTAGTATAGGACAACTCGGTAATTATAAGAAATACAAAAAAATTAATGGTGGCTTTTAGATCTCTTTTTTGAGACAAATTTATTGGTGTCTTCAAAAGCTTGCTATCGTCTTTTGTTTTCGAGTTATAAAGAAAAGTTGAAAATTTCGAGTTTTGGTTACACGTCCATATCTTGGTTGTTTGTAGCATTAGAAAAAAACAACTTTTACGTTCTTCAGGCACAAGAGATCGAGAAGCCGCCATTAATTTATTTGTATCTCTTATAGTTACCGAGTTGTATTATACAAACTTCGACATTTGCCCACCATGTACATGACCTGCCGAAGATAATAAACAGTTCTTATATTCACTTGACTTTTATTTATGACTTGTCGAAGGCAGAATGAAATAGTCCTCGTATAATATTTTTATCAACTTTATAAAAGTTAATTAATTCTAATAAAGGATGCAGAAATATGAAGGCAATTCAGTCATGCCATTTGAAATAACAAAGTCATTGCCCGTTTCGTAAGAATTAGAAAATACTTTTATTAAGTAAATCCTTTTGACTTGTAGAAAAAAGTTTTGAATTCTTCCCTATAAACTAATGTTCTATTTAGATCAATCGCTATGTATATATAATAATTAATTGCATGCTATAGTAAAATAAAAATTTACTTTACCATGTGAGGAAATTCCTTTTCTATAGTTTTGACTCCTCCAATAACAAACTTGTGAAATTTAAATTTGGTAAAATTGGTATTGCCCTTAAATAATATTTAACGTTAATGAAAAATAAAAACAAATTAGGTTTAGAAACTTTTTTTACCAAATTCGAAACTAAGTAAATGATGTAATTTAGATACTATAGGATAAAATTCTTGAATATATTTTGAACTAATTTTATTTATACATTACCATTTGCGGGAATTCCTTCTCTGCTGCTGGAGATCCATTTACAAGAGGGGGTCTGTTAACTATTTTCGATTCTGTGAATCTTTCTACTTCTTCATTGTATTCAATACATTCTACAGGTAAATGTAGTATTCAAACGTTTTAATTAAAAATTAAAGAAAGTATTAAATAAAAAAGTTCCATCGTTTCAGTATTTCGTGTGCAATGTTTTCCAATTTTATTGTAAAAAATTTCAAATTATATATCAGTAACATATACTTACAAACTTGCAAACTTCATTTAACTCTATGTTGTATAACAATTTATTTTGTAGACTTTCGTCAAATTCCTAATGAAAGTCATCTCAAATCATTAACTTACTTTGTTGACTAACGGTATTTTTCGCAAAACGATCTTCAAATTCAAATGGATTCGTAAGATTACTTTTGCAACAGATTAACGTTTCGGTTCCGTCACGACCACATACATCAGGTACTTTACCCCCAAGGATTACCTCCAGAGCAGCAGTACATTGAAACGTATAGAGACACACCCCATTTTCTCCCGTACTCAACTTACAAGGATCGTCTGAAAGTCATTTAAAATCCTGTTTTCATCCAATTCATTTTTGTATTACATTATTTATTACTTTCGCGTAAATTAGACGAATTGGGTGAGTCAGTTGTTTCTCTTGGTACAACAGATGGAAAACTCGGTTGGGTTGTCGCGGAAGTGCTTGTGGTTCTAACGGTTGAAGGTGTTTGTAGAGTGGGTGAAACTATTTCGGTAGTTGTCGATGGAGGCGATTCGGTTGTTGCTGTAGTACCTGAAGTGTAGTAGCATTTGAAAAGGAAAAACACAATTTTCCGAAACTGTATCAGGCTCGGAATAAGAATCCAACGATTCAATTTTTCTTAAATAATTTCGGAACATAGCAAATGAAGTCTGTCTAATAACTACGCGAACTGTGCTGCTATTTTTGCTTTTCTTAGCATATCGAACAATAATGCGACATAATGTTTTTAGTGAAATTTGGGAGAATCCCTCAGGAGATAGATGAAATGGAAATAATTCATTAAAGTCCCATTTAGGTGGAATAAGTGCTTCAGTAAGGATGATACAAATTTAGGTCTGTCTTGGACTTATATTGATGAAAACATTGAGTGTGTAGTCTCTTAGGATTTTCGATCATTGATTCACATTCCAGACTATCGTTGACGAGTTATACTTGGGAAACACGATTCTATCAGAACGTTTAGAATTAAGAACATTGTGTCTTCTCAAAATTGCTGACATCCAAGCAAATTCTGGGATGGATCGAATGCTGATGATGGCCGAATGTGCAGGGACAGTATTGAGGGATATGGAGATGATATAAAGTGAAGAAATGAAACAGCTGAAGAGTCTGAGTTGTGAGGACCTCTAGGAATGTTTTCAATAATGGAAACGAAGACGAGACAAGTACATTACAATAACTGACGAGTATTTTGAATGCACAACATAATGCACTATAAATTTCTTAAATAAAGCACGTACAATCTCAGTTCGCGTATTTGTTAGACGGACCACTTATTATTAAACAATCTTACACAATTCGGGAGCTGTGTAAGGGTTTATTTCTGTGAGTGGTGTAGGAGGCCCAATGTATGGGGTATTTCTACAGCAAATCATCTCTGATTTGCTCGTGCCACAGTAGACAGAAGGGAACCATTGATTCTCTCTAGAACAACTGGAAGGTAACAAACAATTTCCAACTTCCCCATTCGGAAAAACACATGGTCGACCCAAAAGATTAACTTCGGTGGATGGAATGGTATCAGTTTCACAGCAAACATACACTTCTGTTCCAGTACGTCCACAAACTACTGGATGAACTCCTTGTGTGAATAACAAAGCAGCTTTTGGGCATTGAGCAAGTGCGCGGCATTCTCCACGATTTCCGTCAGGTAATCTGCATGAGTCGTCTGCAAACGTTGGAAAAGTTGGAGAGTTTTTGTTTCGGATTACAGCTAACATGGAACTTACGTCGTTGAGGGGGATGTCTTTGAGGGTGGACGATAGGTTTCATATTAGGGCCTGGTCTTTTCTCTTCACAAACAATCGCCGATGTTCCTGGGGCTACTGGTCGCGGATTTAATGAGCAGCTATAAACTTCAACTTGTTGACCATTCATAGTGGGATAATGACGGCTTTGACGACGGACTCCTAAGTGATTGTTTATGTGTTATAGAGTAATTGTCTGTTAAAATAATTGTTGGAGTATACGTAATCCTAAAATGTAGCATTGTGCTACAGATAGCGTTTACTGCGCCATTTGTAGTATTTTCTAAAACGCACTGTTAAGACAGCAGGTAACAGTTGGTCCGTGTTCTGTTGGAGCTGCCTGCGACGCGCTGATGAGATCCAAAAAGATTGAAATCGCGATCCGCAGTTTCGACAGAATACAGACCACTTCGAATTATTTTATTCGATTAAGCTAAAGTGCCTATCACGTTGAGGTTGGCTACGCCGGGATTCGTTTTCAACAAGTAGATATCCACACAAGTGGACCTTGTTGGAGCATACGTAATCCTAAAATGTAGCATCGTGCTACAGATGGCGTTTACTGAGCCATTTGTAGTATTTTCTAATTGTCTGTTATTTTGATATTCTTCCGTTGAAATAAATTCGTGTGCATAATGTCATGGTATTAGAAGGTTTTCCAGTAGCATTTTTATAATAATTATATAAAATTCCGTTAAGGTAAACTTCAAGGAAAATATTAAAAACATTGAGCTATAGAAAAATAAATTCTTGGCCTGCATTTTGCTGTACCTGCTGTCAGAAGTGGATAGGGATTTCGAATCTATTGATTGTCAGCAGCATATCAGTAATGCACGTTATCGATAGCCACTTCACATAGAAAACCACCTACCGCAACTATTGCTGGTTAAAAGCGAGATTAATAATTAACCATGGATAGCGTAAAATACCTTCTAGTCATTAATTAATGAACCCATAATTACCTTATCTGCGGATGACGCCTGTTGTGCTGCCTGTGGTTATTTATTGAGCTATAGTAGTTTTTAACATAAAACGTGCATAAGTTAAGGAGGCGTTTGAAGCACTACATGTCGTAGTTTTGAGAAATATGTGATGACGTGTTCATTAATTGTTTACTTTGTGAAATAATGTGTGGAATATTACAAAAATATTAAATCGCAGTATCTTTATTGCATATACTATAAGTCATTGATTCATGCAATTTGTATGTTAATAAATGCAGTTCAAAGATACTTGGAAAGAAAGATGAAGGTTTGCATAATGTTGGTAGATTTAATAGCGACGTATGACACATTAGATAGAAAAGAAATACAGAAAATGTTAATAGAAAATAAAATAGAAAAAGGACAAGTAGAAAGAATAATGGAAATTCATAGGGAAACGTCAGGAGTACCGAGGATAAAAGAGAATTGAATAGAATTTGGATGGACAAGGATGTAAAATAAGTGCTCAGATATTTAATATGTACTTAAGTGATTTAAAAGGGACAACGGGAATAGTAAAATAAGGAGGAATTGTCATAGGAAGAAAAAAAGATATTGACCATAACTTATGCAGACAAATTGCGAAATTATGAGGGAAATGGCAAAAGTACTAGAAAGGTACTTAGAAAAAAAGGGTTTAAAGCTGAATAAAAAACAATAATAATGGAATTTGATGAGACAAGGGGTAGAAGAAAAATAAAGAGAAGTTAGGGGCATATTTTAGAACGGAAGAAAATTGGAAAAATGTAATTATTTAGGGTACATGTTAGGGGAAAATAATAAGGATGAGATACATATAGAGAATGAATGTACAAAGGCAATGGCAATTTTAGGGAGAATGTTAAAATAATTGGGAAATAAGGATGTTGTTATTTAATTTAGCTATAAGAAGCATTATGTTTTATGGGGTTATAATATGGTGGCGGAAAAAATATGAGCAGATAGAAAGAATTTAAAAATGATATATGAAATTTGTATAATCGTTAGATAGAAGCACACCAGAAGATATAATAAGGAGAGAAACGAAATATGGAGAAATGGTAGAAGAAGCGCGAAGAAGAGTGATCAAATATGAGAAAAAGCTGGAAGAATTAAAAGACGACGGTATAAGAAAAGAGATATGAAGAGGAAAAGATTTGAAAATAGGTATGAGAAGCAGATATGATGAAGAAAGGGATAAATCTATAGAGGAAATGAGAATCAGCAAGGAACAACTAATTGAATGGAAAAATAAGAGATTGAATGTAAGTATTATGATAGATAGAAGTAGAAAAATGAAAACGGGAGAGGATCTAAGAAAAATTCAATGTTCAAAATATCCAGAAGGGATGACGGAATGGATGTGGGAAGATTGCCAAATGACACAATACCTGAATACATAATTAATACAAAGGATATAGAGAAAACAGCAAGATTTAGAATGGGGAATGAATGTAATGTAAATAAATACTAAATACCTTGAGGCATGTATTGGAAGAAGGTATGGAGAAGAAATTGAAAATGAATTTTTCGATTAATATATTCTATAGGCTCTTGAATGTGGTTGTTTAGTTTCCGTATACATATAAAATCGTTATGGAATCTAGTGCTAGGCTCTACCGAACATAAGAACAGTAAATAGCAAACCTTTTAAAACAAAAAATAAGCAATGTGGTGAAATGATCTTTAGAAGAACGAAAGCACAAATATATGCAGATATGGAGATCCCCGGTTGCAGTTTTAATCCCTCCCGTTTATGAAAACATATATTTGTCATATAATTAACAACACAGATGTAAAAAGAAAGTTTGCAAGCTTATTGAAAACACATAATGCCAAAAACAAACATTTGCGAATGGTTTGATGGAATGATTGACGTATATATTTTTATTTGAACTTACTTTGGTGGCTGATTCCTGAGGAAGTTGCTTGTGATGGTGTTTTGATTACCAGCTGATTGCGTTCGCAGCATGTCAGAGCCTCGGTACCTTCAAAGCCACACAGTTCTGGGGCACCACCTTGCTGTATAAATTTTATTGCACTTTGACATCGATGCACAAAAATGCATTCACCCTTTTCACCAGATGATGTTTCACAAATGTCACCTTTAGAAAGAAAAAGGAAGCTTATTGCAAAATTTTAACGTAATTTTTGTCTATCCCCGCGCTAAATGTGGAGTCAAAATTAACGGACATTTGATGAACACGTGTTAAGAATAAAAAATAAAGCAAAATGTAGTACATAAGGTTTCTACTATCACTGAAGGCGAAATTCTTAATTAAACTTAAATTAAAAATTCGTATTACCTTTAGTAAAAGAAATTTGGTAATGGTCTAGATGGGTGGGGGGATTGAAGGAGGAGGTCTCCTCCATCACTACATAACCCTCATAAAAAGTTATGGAGGTTAGATGACGGCCCCCCCATCCCATTCGGGGGTGGTGGTGGGGGGATCGAAAGAGGGAGGTCACTTGAACAAAACCGGATAATCTAACCTAACCTAACGTAACCTAACCTAACCTATTGATAAAGATATTTAAATAATGCTTTATATAACTTTAGTAATATTTTTATGTATTTTTGATTAGTTTTACCTTTGAGTATTATTTAAGAATGACTGTATAAATATTTACATACCTAGAAATGTATAAAAATTGGCATATTTATTAACCTTGAACCCCCATAACTTATTATGGGGGTGAGACCGTCACGCACTTTTTATGGTACAGTGCTGCGGGAGACCTCCTCTTTCGATCCCCCCCACCCCCACCTCCTTCATTTAGACCTTTATCAGAAATTTGAGAGCATGAGGATAATTAACGTGGTTCTAAAATACAGCAAAGTAACATGATACAGAGTGTAACAGAAATTAGTGCTGAGCTTGTAAGAGGTGATAGAGCTACTTTTATAGTTAGAACATTTAAATTAAGTAAATGTTCGCATGTCCGAATATTTACCGTTTTCAAGAAAAGTGTGCATAAAAGTGCAAGTGAATTCAATTTCGGTCCTGGTTCATAATACGGCCCTCAACGCTGCATTTAATTACAAGGATCAGTGTAGTACTTGTTTTGTATTTTTTTGGCTCATGTATTGCTTATTTGTTAGATTAGATTAAGTCTAATTCAGTGTTTTCGTGTTAACAACCAACCTCTAGTAGCTGTTTATTCCTTTAACCTTCAAACCTTGTGCAGCTACATAAACTAATTCAGCAATACACCATCAATTATTAATGTATTAAAAAAAGAGAAGGAGTGGCTGATTTTCGGTATCTATGAAATTAGACAAGTCAGGATGGAAAGAGTAATAGGGATACAAACCAGGGGATAGCACAGGATCGAGTCGCCTCTAATAAAAAGAAGGTTGTTAAAGGCGTATGTTTGGAGCACGACGCTGTACGAGTGCGAAATATAGACGGTGAGTGTGGCGGAGAAGAAAAGGTTGGACGCATTCGAAATGTGGTGTTCCATGCGAATGATGGGAATACTGTGGATAGAGAAGGTTAGAAATGAAGAGATATTAAAAAAATAGGAGAACAGAGGACTCTATGGAAGTCAATAAGAAATTGGCTAGATAAGTTAGTAGGACACCTTCTCAGACATAAAGTCTAGTCAGAGACATATTAGAGGCAGAAACAGGAGTTAAGAGGAGTAGAGGTAGACTTAGATAGATTACTGTTCGCAAATAGTTAAGGATGTTCGTTGTTCTAGTTTTGAGGAAATGCGAAGATTAGTTCAGGATAGGAAAGAGTGGAGGTGCCTGTCCAACCAGTCTTACGACTGTCGACTTTATGAAGGCGATGAAATTTTTGGCCATTTGCTTAGAAAAAAAATGTTACAACTCAGAATATTTTGGAATTTTCCATCAGATGCCTAGTAAGTCCAATAAATATTAGCTTTATGGGTTTATTTTTAAACATGCGGTTACACATATTTGGGTATGTAAATTAAAAACAATTGGAATTACAAGTTATATTTATAGAGAAAGATGCTAATGCTTTAAATAAATTAAAAACAACTTGAAAGAAGAAGGCATCATTACCGATTCATAACTATTCATACATTATTTTTCCGTTTTATGATTTCAACGACTTTTATGTCCTTCCAAACAGAGCCACCTGATTTCCGTTTAATTTATATCTGAATGTTCCTGAACGTTGAATTCCCAAAGTTTATGTTATATTTCTTAACAGTAGCAGTTATTATTTATTTAAAAATTTTATATCTACTTATTTTGGCGTTCATACTTTTAAAAATTCCTGTAATAGCTGTTCTCTTTTTAATAAAACGATTTTAACTCTATTCATTAGTAAATGAAAATTCAGCAAGACAACCTTAGTGTGCATTATTTGCATAAAAATTAATAATAACAATATAATGCACGCCGGAGTATGTAATTGGTTATTTTGCGCAAAAGTTTCTAACTATATTGCATATTACCAGCACGTATATATTATTTTAAATAATCGTTTTCGTATTTATTTATTTCTGGCAATCAATATGCAATTTATTATTAGATGTCATTAATATGAAAGTTTTATTAATCATTAATAATACATTTAAATTAAAATGATGTTTCCGAAAGGAGTTAGTGTATTCTAAAATAGTGTACTTACTTAATTTCAGAAAACAGTCTTTTAATTTAAAATTATAGTTTATTCTTTTCCCAACATTAATTTCAGGTTATCTGTAGTGGTAAAAATTAATTCATTTTAATGTTCATGTCGGTCGGTCACTTTCGCGAATCTCTCATCCTCATAAGGTCGCCTTTCTTAAAACTGGTTGAACACACACCTCCGATCCTTCCTATCTGAGCTAATCTTCGCTTTTTCCTGAAACTAGAACAACCCATATCCTTAACTATTTGCGAACAGTAATCTTAATCTGGGTCTACCTTTACCCCTCCTAACTTCCTATTCTGCCCCTAATATGTCTCTGACTAGACCTTTATGCGAATCTCTACCACATCTTTAATAAGGTTCCGACCTTTTTCCAGATTTAATGGAATCAGTTATGGATGGTCCTAATTTTAGGGGTAAAACCAGTAGGGATTGCTTAGGATTTTAGGATTCTATACTAAGTACCTGATCTGACACACCAGGCACCAACCACGGAGATTGGGAGATCGCGTGTTAGGTTCGGAAACGTATCGGCCCCTGTTTGGTCACCCGCAAATTTATCCGCATGATGACAATGAATTTATTATTTTAATGTTATTGTGCCGTGTGTTTACTTCCAACTTACAATTAGTAAAAGATACATTGTTAAACTGAAAAACCTACTTTAATAAAGCCACATACCAAGGGGCGGAACGTTGGGTGTTTGCGTTAATAAATAAATAATACCTTACTACCTTTACTTCTTCTTTTAGTTTTATTTTTATAAGTTTGGAGAAGATATGTTCACCATTGAGCTAGTGAAGAGAAATTGGCTTGGGCCTTGCAGCTTTGGTCTTGTGAAAAGACCAATACTGGTTTTAATTAGCAAGACCAAGACAGAACGGACAAGACCAAGGCTAAAACTAAGACCTAATGAACAAGTCCAAGACTTAATATAAGACCGAACGAATAAGACCAAGATCGAAAATGCACGACCAAAACCAAATACATCAGGCTAAACGAAAAATTATCACTTTCGGCGGATTTAGGACTTAAACTATTGAAAGGAACTTTAATATATTCCTTTCTAGGAACAAAACATTTTTAGTATTTTAAATTTTCATTTTGCTTTACACAGATTTTAAAGATTTTAACAATAAAAAAGGGACCTACAAGAACGTCCTATATTTTCTTTAGAAGTCATGACCTAACGAAGACCAAGATCGAATATGCAAGACCAACTACACTAGACCAAATGAATAATAATTATTAATAATTATTTTTTCCTCTAGCTTTAGTTTTGTTCTTATTTGCAAACAAAACCGTTTTTTTTCGACTTAATGAATTATGAATTTTGTAGAATATTTCAGTTATCACGCATTCACTGAAAAAAACGATATTTCTTTGAATTTTTAGTTCTATACGACTATATTTTTTATTTCCTGTTAACATTTTTGGGGACTTCTTACCTCTTCTGATTGTACTATTAAATCGTATTTTTTATATTACAAGTTCAATTGTCCCTAACTTAAACACAATGTCTAAATCATTTTAAAGTACAAAAGAAAAGATAAATCATTTACTTTCATACTTAATGATAATTGCTCTTTATCGGCAAATACTATTAATAGTACCAATTAATGTATGCGTTAAGACACAATTTCTAGATCATTAAAAGTTTTTCTAAATAATATCATATAGCTATAGACACGTTCTTGACGAAAACAGTCGACACATATCCTTGATTTTTCTTTAAGTGACGATTTTAATTGGATTAAGATACATTTGGAAACTTTACATTAATGTTAACACTGATATGACAAAGGTACCTACTTGTAGAAATTGAATGGTGACTTGCCTGGGTAATAAACAAAATTTGATTCATTCTTTATCATAAGTCTGAAATTTTAAGTCTAACCATTGCGCATAAATATGCAATTTGTCACTGTTATTACTAATTTTAGATAATTCTTTAAATTGCGTCCAAAAACAAGGTTATCGTAATACTAACTAGTGTAGTAGCAGACAGCATAAATAATTACGATGAAAACAAATTTCATGCAAAAAAACAAGAAGAGACAGACAGTTCTTACCTAAATCGCCGCTAATTTGAACCACTTGAAAGATGAAAAACAAAAAAAACACATTGAAGTTAATCATATTATAATGTCGGTGCTTTACAACAGACACAACAGAATCAGTTACAGAACTAATGGTATACTGGAAATTATACGTATGTGGTCACTAATAAACAAAATATATGATAACATCTCACTTATTGATGCCACTAAACTGACATAATTTATTTATTTTTTAATATTAATATAATTCGAGATCACTGGCGTGTAAACTTGTTGCGAAAAGTGCAAAATGTTTTTACAATGACCTTCATGCTTTGGTGTTCGGGTTTGAACTGTGAGTGAATATTAAATTATCTTCTCTTGTATTAATTAGTAACCGAGAAACAAGTTCTTGGGAATCACCGTTACGGAGGTTACGGAATTATTTCTTATTCGTAAAACAAGTGAGCCGGTAAACAACAGTTAAGGGCATGACTGTGGACAATAATTTATATGGAATAATTAATTAATTGCTATTTACTTACTTGTTTATTTGAATTGCTTTTAATTTTTATGTGTTTAAAAATCTAGGAATGTTTCAGTTATTTTATATATACTTAAGTCAACAGAGATATCGGCAAAGGTCTAGATGATTGCCCCCACCCCTTTCGGGGGTGGGGATGGGGGGGATCGAAAGAGGAGGTCTCCCCCACCACTATACCATAAAAACTTCGCGTCGGTCTCACCCTCATAAAAAGTTATGGGGGTTCAAAGTTAATAAATATGCCAATTTTTTTATGCATTTCTAGGCATGTAAATATTTATATATCTAGTCATTCTTAAACAATATTCAAAGGTAAAACTAATGGAAAATACATAAAAATATTTAGAAAGTTATATAAAACATTATTTAAATATCTTTATCAATAGGGTAGGTTAGGTTCGGGTTTTGTTCAAGTGACCACCCTCTTTCGATCCCCCACCTCCACCCGCTCGAAAATAACTATTTTATTGAAATTTATTCGAATTATAGTGTATGAAAATTGTCAAAATAATTAACTTTCAACCCCCATAACTTTTTGTGGGGGTGAGACCGCCGCAAATGTTTTATGGGTTTTACTCAGGTGACCACCCTCTTTCGATCCCCCACCTCCACCCGCTTGAAAATAACTATTTTATTGAAATTTATAGTGTATGAAAATTGTCAAAATAATCAACTTTCAACCCCCATAACTTTTTGTGGGGGTGAGACCGCCGCAAATGTTTTATGGGTTTTACTCAGGTGACCACCCTCTTTCGATTCCTCCTATCCTCTTTCGATCCCCCTTACCCTAACCCCCATAACTTTTTATGGGGGTGAGACCGCCACAAACTTTTTATGGTACAATAGTGGGGAGACCTTCTCTTTCGATCCCACCCACCCGCACCCCCTTAGGGGGCCTTCTAGACATTTACCGAGGTATCTTCAAGCATAAAAATTTATAAGCCCAGGGCACGTAACACAAAAAAAATTATTTGAGTGCCAATTTCAGCGTTAGTAGGTACATTTTTTTATTTTTACGAATCGACAGAATACTGACCACTTAGAATTTGTTTGTTCGATTTTGGTAACGTGCCTATCATGTGGTGGTGAGCCACGCCGCGGATTCAGTTCAGCAAGTAGATATCCATTTATTTAAATGGACCTTGTTGAGCATAACGAATTCCACTAAATGTAGCATTGTACTACAGATGGCGTTTATCGCGCCATTTGTGGTATTTTATGCCTGCATTATGTTTAGACTATTGCTTAGGATTCGGTAGGGCATCCGTTTATCTGGCTCTAGCTACCCTAATACAATACAATGTGTTCTTTACTTTCCGTGGATCTCACAGGCAAATGCTAAGGCAGTAATACCACAGTATAAAGGTTCTATACCGTAGGTTCATTCCGTTGATTTGTCTAAACTGCCATCATAAATTAACTTTATGTGCGCTAAACTGTCGTATAGGAGGACAGTTCAGTAGCTCTGTAGATACAAAACGTATTTGTACTGTAACTTTACGTTGACACACTGTACAAGTTAGCCATTAATGTTGTCTATTTCTACCAAAACCTTATAACACTAAGAATTTTTTGTTCTCAGAATGGCGCTGTAAACGTCATCTGTAGTACAATGCTACATTTTAGGATTACGAATGCTTCAACAAGGTCCATTTAAATATGTGGATATCTATTTGCCGATGAGATCCAAAAAGATCGAAATCGCGATCCGCGTATGGCAGTTTCGACAGAATACAGACCACTTCGAATTATTTTATTCAGGGTCATATTAGTGTATTAAGGTATATCAAATATTTAATTAAAACTTGTACCTGTAACATTATCCTCAGGTAAAAATTGGAATGGAAAAGTTTCTGTTATATGAAGGTGTTTATTAAATTGTTTACATAAACAAAATTAGCCAAAGTGCAATTTAGTAATAAATGATTTATAGGAATTTAGTTTAACCATCAGGCCACACAATTTTTTCAATCCATGGTACAAAAAACGAAACTCTGGTATAGACTGCAGGTGTGTTAGCAATTCCACACGCTTTCCCAAACGATGTTATTCCTATTATGTAATATGGTTCATTATTTCCTAATACAATTTTACTTTGGAGAGGTCCGCCTGAATCTCCCTGAAATATTAAAAAGAGCACCTTATAATTATTAAGTACATATACATCAGGACTATAAAACTTCTACATAGAAATACTTAATTAATACTTATTTGAATCTTAGTTTGTATAAAGAGCAACAGACAGTTATAGAGCTTATAGCAGTATTAGCATCTAGCGGAGACGAGTTACAGAAACCTTATACAAAATAGATGCGGTACTGACAAAACAGTACTGAATAAAAATAAATAAAAGTAAAACAAAAATAGTGGTATGCAATGGAAGAAAAAGTAGGGAAAGAGCGAATATAAAGATAGGAGACGAAAAATTAGAAGAAGTGGCCGATTTTAGGTATCTAGGAAGTCATATAAGTCAGGACGGAAGGAGTAGTAGGGATATAAAGCAGTGGATAACGCAGGGTCGAGTCGCCTTCAATAAAAAGAAGTCACTTCTGTGCTCGGGAACGGTTAATTTAGAAATTCGAAAAAGATTGTTAAAGGTGTATATTTGGAGCACGGCGCTGTACGGTTGCGAAACATGGACCGTGGGCGCGGCGGAAAAGAAAAGGTTAGAAGCGTTCGAAATGTGGTGTTAACGGCGAATGATGAGGATTCCGTGGATAGAGGTTAGAACTGAAGAGGTATTACAAAAAATAGGAGAACCGAGAACTCTATGGAAGTCAATAAAAAATAGGCGAGGTAGATTGGTAGGATACCTTCTCAGGCATGAAGGTCTGGTCAGAGACATATTAGAAGCAGAAGCAGGAGTTAGAAGGGGTAGAGGTAGATCTAGGTTAGATTACTGTTCGCAAATAATTAAGGATGTAAGTTTTTCTAGTTTTATTGAAATGCGAAGATTAGCTGAGAATAGGAAAGAGTAGAGAACTGACGATGTTATGATGATTATAGGAATTTTGAAGTTCTTAAGATTTGTTTTCCTTTTTAAATAAGCTTTTATTTTCAAATAAAATGTTGTCAGCAAACTAATGTCAAAATAAGGTTTGCATGAATTAAGGCGTAAATGTCAACTGTTGACACCAAGCATTATTTCTTTACATAAAATTGGTACAAAAATATTAATTTGTAGTAAGGTTCATTACTCTGATAATCACATCCTACATATCGACACTGGTTCACTGGTAAAGGTATAATTTTGTTTACGCTCAGATAAGTTGTTAACCTCTTTGAAGTTGACATGGAAAAATTAACAAACAAAATAAAAACCGTAGGATAATTAACCGTAAATTAGCTACAATTAGCAGTGAAAGCTAAAAATTAGCCGCGACCCGGGAAACCCGAAAACCCAGAAAACTTAATTAACTTAATTTAATTTAATTTTAATTGTTCAATTCGACTTTTACTATTTTATTCAAAAGTGAGCATATAAGGCCCCGTTTACACTGATTAGCGATTAGGAGAGTTCATACACTTTCCACGAGATTTCCAGGGGGGGCAGCCACCCTCCCCTGCCACCCCCTGGGTACGCCCATGGTCAACATCGTATTTAATAGCCAAATTGCGTTGTAGCGTAAATTTTGTTACTTACATTGCAAGTATCCTTTTCCTCGTTGATTCCTCCAGCGCAAACATGAGATTCGTCGACAATGCCATTCGGTAATTTTATTTTGCTGACTGTAGCAAATGCATCTCGACATTTTTCGTACGAATAGTAACTGAGATCAACCTTTTGTAACACGTCACTTGATTCACCATTGAATTGTGTCTTTCCCCATCCAGTGGCGTACGGTTTTGTAGTCGGCAAATCGTGAGAAGTATACAAACAGGCAGGCTTAACATAATCTGTAAAGTCAGCATTTTTGTTAAGTTTCAAAAGAGCAATGTCATTGTAATTTATCGGGGGACGATAATCAGGATGTCTATGGATTTCAATGACTACAAAATCTTGGAGATTGTCGTTTATTTTGTTTAGATTCAGTAGTCCCATTCTAGCAAATTTAACGGGTCCTCTACAAGAAATATAAAACGAATAACACTTATGTATATCCAGAAAACTGTGGTACTTACAGTTCTGTTGAATGGGTGCAATGAGCTGCTGTAAGAATAAAGTTTGGGCTTATAAGAGAACCACCACATAACCACTTCACGGTCTTTGTTGATCCGTAACCCAAAGCAGCCTAAAATGAATCAAAAGCTTTTTAGAAAGTATTGCATTTATTCCTAACTAGCTTTTTCCCGCGGCTTCGTTCGCATAAATTAATATTGTTTCTCCATAAAACCTTTTAACTGCCATTTCACCCTTACAACGTTTTAATTTTATGTAATGTCGCCATCTTAGATTTCAAATACAAACGTAGCAACAACATTTCATCCTTAAGGGTTGATTTTTAAAAATTTCCAAAACACGTATTTACTTAATTTCAACAATGAGCAACCTTCGAGTAAATCCGAGTACAAATAAAATATACCCCATGGAAACGTAGCAACCTCTTTTCATTTGATTAATAATATCAAACAGCATATAGGTATACCAAGTTTGTATACTTTTTTAACCCCCCTCCCCTTTGGAGGTTGAATTTTTAAAAATGTTGAGATAGGTCTTTCAGAAATTAAATGAGAAGCCATTAAGACCAAGTTTCAAGTAAATTAGCCCAATCGGTTCAGCCGTTCTTGAGTTATAAGTAGTGTAACTAACACGACTTTCTTTTATATATATAGTAAATGGAGGTTGAATTTTTTTAAAATGTTGAGATAGGTCTTTCAGAAATTAAATAAGAAACCATTAAGACCAAGTTTCAAGTAAATTAGCCCAATCGGTTCAGCCGTTCTTGAGTTATAAGTAGTGTAACTAACACGACTTTCTTTTATATATAGATTAAAATAATTGTAAAAATATGTGTGTACCGGGATTCATAAAATATTGTGTCTTACCATGTGGGGAAATTCTTTCTCTGCTGATGGTACACCACCAACTACAAAGAGTTCACTCATTCCTATCTTGGACTCCATGAATTTCTCAGTTTGCTCGTGGTACTCTACACACTCTAATCAAAAAACAGAAGAAAAGAAAACAGTCACCTAATACTGTAGGCATTCAAAATTCAACATACTTTGTTGACTGGTACTGTTAAGTGTCATTCGTGGAACAGTTTGTATAGGATTTTTGGATTCTATCTTGCAACAGACTAGGACGTCAGGTCCTTGATGTCCACAAATTTGAGGTTTGATACCAGCTCTTACGTCTTGCAAAACGGAAGGGCACTTGAAGGTAAATGTACATATACCATTCTGTCCGTCGGAAGCTTTGCATGGCTCATCTAGATAAAGCATATAATCTTATGTTCTGTAATATACAGTATCGGTTACAGTTGCTTATTTTGTACCTGGTAATAAATTTGGTGTGGTGCTGGTCGGTGCAGATGTTGTAGACGATAGTTTAAGGGGAGCTGATAAAAAATAATTATGAATATTACAAACAGGCAATACCTTTTTCCTTTGATGTGGTGACAGATTGTAATTCTCTTACCAGCTGTTGATGATAAATGACAACAAACTTTTTCTGGTTGAGGTGTACCACAGTACACCTGTGGAAACCATTGGTATTGTGTGGGACAATCCACAGTTGGAGAGCAGATGCCCTCCTGTCCATTGGGAAAGTGGCACTGTTCACCAAAACTAGCGGACGGAGGTGCAGGTGGGTTAAAAGGTAAGGGACTATTTGAGTCACAGCAAACTAGTATTTCTGATCCTCTAACACCGCACACGAGAGGCTGAATTCCTTCAGAATAAAGTAAAGCCACGTTTGGACATCTTACCAGAGGTCGACAATCACCTCTTTTTCCATTGGCCAATCTACATCGACGACCTGTGTGACAACAGAATTATTACACTTAGTTTCCTAATTTGGAGACACTGTTGCATAAATAAGAATAATATTATGGGAAAAATACGTATTTTGGTATAACAAACGCCGACGTTTCGCCATTAGTGTAAGAATTCTTCAGGCATTTACTGTACTGCGAATCTGGTTCTATCTAATACCGAATAAAGCATTTTTTCCGTCCCATCACATTCGCGCCGCCCGGGATCCATGTACCCCTTTGCCCCCCCCCCCACCAAGCCACAGTACAAAGTACGGTTGTTTTTATTATCCTGCAGCATGATAGAGGATATGAATAACAAGCGGAGAAAGAGGGGGAGAGGCAAGGGAAAACTTCTATTTTTGAGGAAAAAAAGGCTGTTTTTGAAATTATTTCATAAAATATTGCTATTTCTAATACAAAAAACAAATACACGCAGATGTATATACATACAAGGTAATGGCGCACAGTATTTACATTTTGATATCTTGATCCTTCACAGCATAGCCATGGGCGTACCCAGGGGTGGGGGGCAGGGGGGGCAGCTACTGGAAATCTCTTAGAAAATGTATGAACTCGCCTAATCACTAATCAAAGTGTAAACGGGGCCTTATACATCCTACATATCGNCTTTATATGCTCACTTTTGAATAAAATAGTAAAAGTCGAATTAAACAATTAAAATAAAAAAAAAATACATAGGATGCCGCGGACAATCTGCCCCCCCTTAGAGAAGAAGCTGGGTACGCCCATGCATATAGCATAATCTAAGATTTTGGTTTTGGAACTATTGCATCAGACATGAAATAAGAAATATAAATAAATGCACGAATTGTGGTATTATTTTTGGGCTTGTCAACAATTAGAACAACAAACATAAAATTCTTGGCCAAACATGAGAAATTTTTTTAGGAAATTGATGTTTTTTAGAGGGATAACACGCGAATGGAAACAACCCTACTTAGATGAATTATGCATTTCAGTAAAGATGATGAAAATCAATTGATCGTCTGAAGTCTCTTATGCTTTTCAATTGCCGATTCATTGCCTGGATGATACCATCTGTTCACATGATTCTATCAGAACACTAAAGGGCTTGACTTCCAGGAAAGTTTTGAACAATGGGAACAGCGACGGGAAATAATCGAAGTTTACAAGATTAATGTAGGTACCTACCCTAACTTTTCTAGAATGAAGTATATACGAATTCAGTTCGCGAATTTGTTAGACAAGACACCATAGATTCTCAGTCGAATAATTCTAACAAAACATGCAATTACCAATCTCTCCATTTGCAAAAGCACGTGATTGCCCTAGAAAATCAATTTCGGTAGCTACTGGTGGAGAGGGGTAGTGATGAATTTCACAGCAAACATACACTTCGGTTCCAGTACGTCCACAAACTACTGGATGGACTCCTTGGGCGAATAGTTGGGCAGCTTTTGGACACTGAACAAGCGCTCGGCATTCTCCACGGTTTCCGTTAGGTAATCTGCATGAGTCTTCTGCAAATGTTAGAAAAGTTGGATGTTTTCTATTTTAGATTATGATGGTAAGAAATTACGTCGTTGATGTGGAGATGTTTGAGGATGGACGATGGGTTTCATAATACGATCTGATCTCTTTTCTTCACAAATAATTACTGACACATCTGATCCTACAGGTGACTGATTTGTCTCACAATTAAATGCTTCAATACCGGGATAATGGAAATTTTGATGACCGACTCCTAAGGATTCGTTTACGTTTTGTTAAAAATGTGTTTGTTATTTTTAGATTGTTCTTTAGCAATAATATTTTGAGCGTAATGTTGTAGTATTAGATGTCTTTTAATAAAAAAAATATCGGTTATTAAAACAGTAGCTTCCTTACACTAAAAATAATGTAAAAATCGGTTGTCTGTAAAGTCAGTTTACAGAACGTGACAACGTCATAAGAAAATACTGATGGAATGGTTTCATTTTTCAAAAGAAAATTTTAATTTTATTTGTTTGATAGATATTTTGTATGGATATAGAGAAGGAGGTAAATGGAAATGTATTATTGTATAGCAGCTGTCCACGCGGACGCATCGCTCACTCAAGTAGGAGAGAGACAGATGTCGAACGCTGCCGAACGCGGAGGCCGATTGTGCCTCTTTGTCGCTCGTTCCGCGCTCTCGCTTGCACTTCAAGCCTTAAATGGAACGCCTCAGAGCTAGGTAACGCCGCATGAGTCATGTTTTTTCGTGCGTGCAGCCGGCTCCATCGAATTATAAGACGTTGTCACGTCAAAAATGTTGAATTATAGTGCAATAAGCTCATTGTCAGGTATGCACAAGTTGACGACTTTCTCCAATATTTTTGCGTGAGGTAATTCGTATGTGTTGTATACGAGGTCTGTTCAAAAAGTATCGCGAAATTCGTGTTTTTCCAAAGATTATTTATTTATTCATGAACATCTATTTTGTCCCCTTCAAACTAACCCCCTCCAGATATTATACACTTGTGCCAGTTCTACTCTGTGGCAAAAACTCATGTTGCACCACGCCCCTGCAATAAAACTCTAAACAAAACCTTCATATTCGACATAACTTGACCCTATTTTTTCGGTCTTGGCTCGTGCGGCAGCTTCCATTAGGATGATTAAGCCTTGGTTTCCATGTCATAACTATAAACCCATGATTCGTCATCAGTTATGACCCTCTGGAGCAAATTTGGGTCGTCGCGGACAGAGTTCTTAGCAATGTTAATGCAATGCTGTTTTTGGTCAAAATTGAGCATTTTTGGTACGAATTTCGCGGCAACCCGTCTCATGTCCAAATCATTGGTTAAAATCGAATGGCAGGAGCTAATCGATACATTTAGGTTCTCAACAACTTCGTTAACGGTGATTCGACTATTTTCTTCACTTCAATACTGTTTTCGTCTGTTGTTGACGCTCTCGGGCGTCCGGCACGTTCTTCGTCTTTCACATTTTCTCGGCCCTCCGAGAACATTCTGTACCACCGATAAACGTTGCTTTGGCCCATGGTAGCTTCACTATATACCAAAGTTAACATTCGGAATGCGTCCGCGCACTTGATTTTATTTTTTGGATAATTTCTTGATTAATTTTTCAGTTTAGCCGCAATGAGCATATTGCGAACTTTTTGGATCATTTAACTAAAAAAACAACATTCTATATCGCCGCATTTTTTTTTGCATAGCCTCATATTTCGGCATATAGAACAACGTCTTCCTATAACTTTTTTCGTATTTCATGGCTCCTTTTAAATAAAACCTTACTTTTTCTGTTTTTGAACATTCTATATAAAAAATTAAATTTGGATAATACGGACGATCTTATTTTAAAATAGGGAACAAGTTTTATTTGAAATATTTTTCGATTAAACTTACAGTTTGGCTCAATAAGAATATTTCGTACTTTTTGGGCCACCCTGTATATATACATACTTAAGTCACCTAGAAAAAAGGATCCACGATGACGTTCGTTTTAATAATTTGAAGACTGTACCTATGCTACTTTTTACAACATTTGTTTTGGATTAGGAAGTCGTTTCATGTTTTTGTTCTCTTTTACAATACAATACATTCCAACAACAATTTTTCATATCTATTATACTTATCCTTGATTTGTAAAATTTTTTACACTTCTTTTATTATACTGTTGTTTCTATAAAAGTTCGCACGATTCTCAAACAATTTGTATTTATTAGTTCATAAATAACGTCCTTGAATTTTCCCAAATATGTATGTTAATATTTACATATCTTATTTTTCTAATTATTCACAATTTTTATTTGTCATGATTTTACGATTGTATGTACAAGGTGGATTTGTTCCCCTCATTATCTCCAAAGAAAGTAATAGTTTAATAATTTAATATAATTGCTTTTGTAATTTCTTCTGTGGTGATTTTAAACGTGCTACTAGCATTTTCATAAATCTACTGTTAATGTGCTGGGAGGTGCTTGAAATATATTCTTTTAATGGACACTCTGTATATCTTTAGATATTTGAAATTTCCTGTTTTATTTGATTTCAAAAATGAATAATTGTCATACGTTGTGATAAATAGTAATAGAGGAAATCATAAAAAATAATGTAGATGTTACATTATATCACGACATTGTGGAAATAGAGGGCTTTGTAATTGGAAGGACACTTGAGCGAAATATTGACTGACTAATATGAATTTTATATATACTTCTAAGTGAATGCAGGTTTACATGCATCCAAAACATCTCGGTCAAAAAAACACGAAAATTCTTGCAGTCCTGACTGACCAGTAAATAAAATAGTTAAAAAAAGTACGTCGGTTGTTGCGGGTATCACAAAAGCTCCCCTTTCAACCATTTCATGTAAAATTCTAAACCGTTAGGACACGGAAACAAAGGATAATTGGAAACAACAATAAAGTTAGTGGTAACAAACTGAAAAGCCTATTAATTTTCGAAATTTCCGAATTTTTGCCTAAACAATTTTCATGTTTACTTAGTTTAATTCGACTCTACAATTGTGAAATGCCCGAAAACAAAAGAAATATTGACAAAGTGTAGTTGACCCAAAACCGAGGTCATTGAAAAATTACTCAATTAAGTAAAGTGATTATGAAACCTTTATAATAAATAAACATAGACGTATCAATTGAGATTTTATTTATAATGTTCTACGTTTGTTACGACCAATGAGCCATTATCAATGAATCTATAATTATAATTGTTTGAATCTCCTACGTTTAATTTTTATTTTTTATAAATTAATGTCAAAATAAGGTTTGCATG